CTGAGCGCTGATGATCCTGCCTCTTCTCCCCCCGCCCCCTCCCGTCCCCTCCTCCCTCTGTCCTTCCAGTGAGTCCCTCTGCGGCCACCACGCCAAGAATCACTCGCTCCAACAGCATCCCCACCCACGAGGCCGCCTTCGAGCTGTACGGCGGCTCCCAAATGGGGAGCACCCTGTCCCTGGCCGAGAGACCAAAGGGCATGATCCGGTCAGGATCCTTCCGAGACCCCACGGACGATGGTGAGACCTCACACGGCGCGGTTCACGCTCATCCCGGCCCCGCGGGGCCCTCACCCGCCTCCGCCTCACCGCCTGCGCGGCCACCACACACACATGACTCACGAGACATCCGGCCGGGGCCATCTCCTCTCTCTCTTCCCATCCCTGCGAAGGGTCTGGGGGCCCAGAAACCTTGGGGCTGGGGAGGGAAGTGCCGTAGCCGGGCTCGGAGGCGCCCTCGGCGGTCTGCTCCCCAGCCTCTCGAGTCCACGAGGACCCTCAGGGACACGGTGGCAGCTCTTAGGCCCTTACGGAGCGGTAGGCGTCGCATTCCTCTTCCAAGGATGCTCCAGAGGTCAGCCTCAGGCAGGCCCGCGGTTGTCATGGTATCGGGTTCACGGTCAGCCTGGGGGCCAGGCTTCTGCAGGTGGATGTCCCTGCATTGCTTGAGGACGCGCCCGAGTCCCCTCTGCTGGGCTCCCCCGAGTGATCAGGCAAAGCGTTTACACCCAGCAATTTTTCATCTAACGGTCCCCGGGCTTCTAGCACGTCCCCCGGTGCTGAGAGGAGGTGCGGGCAGGCGGCAGGGTTGTTCTGAGCGGCTCCGATGGGAAGACGACCCGGCACCGACCCGCGAGCACCCTCTTTCCCTCCCCGGGCCCTGGCGCCCCTCGCGCAGGCCGGGCCGATGCGGACGGAAGGAGGAAGCCGCTCTGCCCGGCAGCCCCGACCCGCCTGGGCTGTTGGCTCCAGCTGGGCCCCCGTTCGGTTCTTTCTGTCGGCTCCAGAGTCAGTGCCGGATCCCGCCTCAGGGCGCTTCTCGGGGTCCCCAGCCTGGTCCCCGGAGCCCTCGGTTGACGCCCTGTTCTCTTCTCTTCCAGTTCACGGCTCGGTGCTGTCCCTGGCATCCAGCGCGTCGTCCACATACTCCTCAGTAAGAGCATTACCTTCTCCGCCTCCCTGCCCTTCCCCACCCCGCACGGCCGGGCACCTGGGTGAGGGTGGGGAGCCCCTGGCCGGGAGCTTGGGTTCCCCGGGCTCTGTCTGGCCTCCGAGCGCCCTGCGCTGGAGGCTGGAGAGGACAGGGATGGGTCCCCAGGACCTCAGAGCCCTGCCCCGTGCAGTTCGCCACGTGTCCGCTGTCCGCTGGGCTCTTGCGGCTCCTTTGTCCTTGGATTTGTTCTGCCCTCGATTCTTGGCTCAGTAAAGCTGGGGGCAGAAAGGGTTCATTCCAATCAACCAGCTTCACTCCCCAGCCTCCTTGGCTGTCACAAAGCTGGCTGGACATAGACGTCCAGAGAAACCTCCGGTTCGAGCCCGTGTCGGGTCTGGGCCCGTCCCGCGAGGAGACGGGCCCAGGGAGCGGTTCCGGCCTCTTCGTGCCTCCGGGCCTGGCTTCCCTGCCCCCTGCGGGCCGCAGGCCTGGCCCCCTCACCTCCGCGGTAACCCCGTCTCTCTCTCTCTCCCCCCCCCGCGCTCCCTTCTCCAGGCTGAGGAGAGGATGCAGTCTGAGGTAGGGCCCAGGCCGCGGTCCCTGCTTGCTGCCGCCCTGCGCCACGCGTTCCCTCCGGGCCTCTCGCTTCCGCCGCCGTAAGCCGTCTTTCTCTTCCTTTCGCAGCAAATCCGCAAATTGCGCCGGGAGCTGGAGTCCTCGCAGGAGAAGGTGGCCACCCTGACGTCCCAGCTGTCCGCCAACGTGAGTGACACCCAGGCGGTTATTTTTTTCTAAAGTTAGACGAGCTCGGCCAGAGGAGGGGAGTTAATTCATAAACACCCCCCACCCTGGGCTTCAACACCAGGAGAGCAGAGAGGGCTTGGGCATCGGCCACCCCGTCTGTGAGCCTCGATTTTTTTTGTAAAGAACCCTCCTGGCCCAGGCCAGTGCGGCTCAGTGGTTAGAGCGTTGGCCCATACACGGAAGGGCCGTGGGTTCAATTCCCGGTCAAGGACACAAACCTGGGTTGTGGATTCGATTCCCGGGCCCTGGTCAAGGCACATGAAGGAGGAAACTGATCGATGTCTCTCTCTCTCTCTCTCTCTCTTCCCCCCCATCCCTCCCTTCCACGTTCTCTAAAAATCAATGGAAAAAAATATCCTTGAGAATTAACAACAACAATAACAAAAGGACCATTCTGCCCCAGTCTAATCAATAAGTATGGGTGGATTCACGGCTGATGGTCTTTGAATTCCTTAGGGAAAGAACAGAGGGTTATCAGTGGTCCCGCATGGAGGTGGACACCTCCTGGCCAGCGGCCGTGGGCAGGAACCGTTACAGGCTCACTTACGGAGCCCTCAGCAAGCGTTTCCACCACCCTGGGGGGCGCCCTGTCCTTGTTCACGCCACAGGTCTGGGTGGGCACAGAATTAGCTTCTAGAATCCCGTCCAGTGACCCTGACACTGCTTCGGACCCACCCCGTTCTAGTCCAGCCCCTTCCTCCCCGGACGCCGTTCTCAGGAGTCCCCCCGGGCAGCTGGCAGAGAGGACCTGAGCTCCAGGTCGGGGCCAGAATCTGCGTCCGCGCCCTCAGCCTTCCCCAGGGCACGTCCATCAGAACCGCGGGATGGGGGGAAACAAGGCTGCCCCTCTGGCCAGGCTGCGGCCGATTGTCCCCGGCGGCCGAGTTGCGAAAAGAGAACATAAGAGTCATTTTCCAGCAAAGCTGTAAACACCAGCTGAGCCGGATCCGGGGGAGCATCCAAGTGTTTGCACAAAAGTGACCGTGTCTCCAGCTTCCGCTGTGGTTTCTGGCTGTTTCTCTCCCTTCCTCTCCGGGGAACCCAGCTGTCAGGCCCGGGTCTCCCCTCCGAATCAACTGCTCCCCAAGATCTCGGTGTTGCCAGTTTATTTCAACAGCGGGCCCCTCACACACTGGCTGTTCTCTCTCTTCTCTGTCCCCAAGCCCTCAATTTAGACGTTGGACACGGTTTGCTTGAAGCTCACATCAAGCACTTTTTTCCACTCATGGGGACTTATAAGAATTGTGCAAATAAGAACCATCTCCCCACTCCCTGTACCCCACCCACGGAGGCGGTGGCCTGCGTCGGGTCCTGCACAGCCTGGGAGGTTCGCTTCTGGGAGACACTGGGGGAGAGGCGCCAGGGGCACAGGGAACATTAGCGCTCTGATCATTTACGCCGCCGGCCGTTGGCCATAGTGCTGTCGAGGCTGGGCGAGGGCCAAGAACACGAGGTTAGAGGATGATTTTTCTTAGAACAGGAAGTTCCCTTTGGCTTAAGACGGAACGAACCAAACGCCCAGATAGGACAGGCTCTGAATTTTCGAGGCAGAGCCTTGCTGAGATCTCGGCCCTGCCCTCAAGCAGGAGATGTGATGCCGGGACCGGGGAAGGTTTTCCCGATTCCTGCGTAGGCCGAGCTCTGGTCCGTGCGCTTCCCGGCTGCCGGGGCTGAGGGCGCCCGGACCTCCGACCCTCCCGTGTCAGCCTCTCTCAGCAGCACTGCTTAGCCAGAAGGTGTGAATGTACCTCGTCCGCTCAGGGAGACCCGTATTTCAAAATCCCCTAGACGTGTGTCAGCCCCGGTCAGCTCTCAGATGGAAGATCAGCTAAACTACGTCCCTGTCGGTCCCCCCGGCCCCCGTTCCCAAGCCTCCGGCAACCTCAGGGCCCCCTATGTGCTTGTTTCAGGCCAACCTCGTGGCGGCCTTCGAGCAGAGCCTGGTGAACATGACATCGCGCCTGCGGCACCTGGCGGAGACAGCCGAGGAAAAGGTGAGAGGCCTGGGCGGGGGCGGGCGGGCCACGGCGACCCCCCGAGTGCCCCAATGCCCGGTTTCCCTGTCACCCTGAATTCTCAACCTACCCCTTAATACAGTCGTCCCGATTCTCTGCCCTCTGTACCGTGTCTGGTAGGGCACAGGTGCCCAGCCCATCGCCTGGCACATAGGTGCTCCAATCCCAACCAGCGACACTGTTCCACTTCTCTCTCAGGACACCGAGCTGCTGGACCTGCGAGAAACCATAGACTTTCTGAAGAAAAAGAACTCTGAGGCCCAGGCGGTCATTCAGGGAGCCCTCAACGCCTCGGAGGCCACGCCCAAAGGTAGGCGACCCGGCCGCAGGTGGAGGGAATCAGGGAGGGGTGGAGGAGGGGGCGGCAGGCTTTACCACAGTTCCAGGCACATGCTAGGTGCTCAAAAGACACCACACACACAGACATGCAGACACACACACACAGACATGCAGACACACACACACAGACATGCAGACACACACACACAGACATGCAGACACACACACACAGGGAGCACCCCAGGAGTCCCGAGGTGGCCCGCTGTCATCTCCTTTCTTCATTAAATCGCCCGCAGCCTCTGAGTCCCTCCCATCCCGGCCTCTTCCCGACCTGTCTCCTGCTCCTCGAAGGACACTGTCCGTAAAGGGCAGAGACAGCCCACAGGAGGGGAGGAAACAGTTGCAAATCATACGTCCCATAGGGGCCTGGCGTCCAGAATGTATAAAAAAACTCCCNCACTGTCCGTAAAGGGCAGAGACAGCCCACAGGAGGGGAGGAAACAGTTGCAAATCATACATCCCATAGGGGCCTGGCGTCCAGAATGTATAAAAAACTCCANGGGGAGGAAACAGTTGCAAATCATACGTCCCATAGGGGCCTGGCGTCCAGAATGTATAAAAAAACTCCCCCATAAAAAGACAAATAACCAGCCCTGGCTGGTTTGGCTCAGTGGTTAGAGAGCATCAGCCCGAAGACCGAAGGGCTGAGGGTTCGATTCCAGTCAAGGGCACAGGCCCGGGTTTCGGGCTCCTACCCAGCAGGGGGCCTGCAGGGGGCAGCCGATCGATGGCTCATCAAGGATGTTTCTATCTCTCTCTTCCTCTCTCAGAAATCAATAAAGACAGGG